AGGGTCCTCTCATTGTCCCCGTCCCTTCCACCCATCCCGGCTCAGCCTCCCCGCTCCCTCCCCAGGGCACGGGCAACAACTGGCTGCGTGTCATCCCCCGCACCCGCTTCGGGGCCTTCGCACGGGGGGCCAAAGTGGTGCTGTTCACGCGGCGCAGCGGGGCCCACCTGCGCATCATCGACGGCGGGTCGGGGTACCTCTGTGAGATGGAGCCTGTGGCACACTTCGGACTGGGTGAGCTGGGGGGGCGAGGGGCTGCCTCCACCCCCAGTCCCATCCCTGGCACCCTCTTTGATGGGATCCTGAGCCCTCCACCCCCTCCCGCTCAGGGGTACCTCTGCAAGATGGTAGTCATCCATGCCCATCGCCCTGGGCACGGTGGGCTCCATGGGAGGCTGGTGCAGGGTCTTGGCCCTGCAAGGGGCAGCTGCCCCCTTCCCCACACCCTGCCTGCTGCTTTGCCCAGGGACCAGGGCTTTCCCTGGCATTAATCCTCCCCTGGCTCAGCCCAGCCAGCAGCCAGGCCCACAGGGGTTTCCCCACCATCCCCACCTGCACCCCTTGTGCTGCATCTCTGTGCATTGGGCTGTCACCGCGGGCACCAGCGGCCTGGCTCGGGGAGCAAGGGGAGAGGCTTTGTCCCTCCATGCCTACCACCCCCCCCACCTCCTTTCAGCCCCTGCCCACCCCGGAGATGCCCCCTCTGACAGGCTGCCCGCTTGCAGGGCGCGATGAAGCCAGCAGCCTGGAGGTGACCTGGCCGGACGGCCGCGTCGTGGTGCGAGCTGTGGCCAGCAGTGAGACCAACTCCGTCCTGGAGGTTCCCTACCCTCTGGATGTGGAGGAGCCACTCGTGCCTGCCCCGCTGGAGGTGAGGGCCCGGTGTGGGCACCAGGTGGGAGGCTTTGGAGGCAGGAACGTGGGGCTGGGCTCTGCTGGCTCAGAGGCTGCCCAGGGCTGATTCCTCCTCATCCCAGTGGTCTCTGCTTCTCCCCAAATGCAGTGTGGGCAGGGATTCTCCCAGCACAAGAACGGACGCTGCGTAGGTGAGTGGCTGCTGGGGGCACGGGGGTCCCTGCACCTGGGATGCTGCAGCATGTCCCCGTGGGCATGGCGGGGGGCACGAGGGCAGCACCCTGCTACAGCCAGGGCTGCTGCGTAGCTCAGTGCAGGGCTGTGGGGATGGGGGCACTGGCATGGCTCTGGAGGGGACCCGCAGTGACACAGGGAGGGGGCAGAGTGCCATGTGGGGGGTGGGAGGCATTGGGCTCCAGCCGCAGGTGATGGAGGGGCAGCAGGGATGTGACAGGGTGGCCGTGGCCATGCCATAAGCCTCCCAGGCAGGGGCAGGGCTGGTGCGTGGCTGCCTGCGGAGGGGAGCCCATCCAGCCCATGCAGGGGAAAGTGGAGGGGCTGTGGGCAGCAGTCCCCAGCTCCCATCCCAGCCATCCCAGCCAGGCCTCTCTGCTCGCAGACACGGACGAGTGCACCGAGTTCCCCTTCATCTGTCCCCGGGAGAAGCCCACCTGCATCAACACCTACGGCGGGTACCGCTGCCGCAGCAACAAGCGCTGCAGCCGGGGCTTCGAGCCCAACGAGGACGGCACGGCTTGCGTGGGTGAGTGACGGCGGGGGTGTCCTGACCCTGTGCCACCCCAAAGCACCGCTCTGGGATGCTCTCGAACCCCTGCCGATGGCCTGGCCACATCCTGCAAGCCTCCACGCAGCCACCCAGCCCCTTGCACCCTGGCTCTGTGTCTGTTCGTCCTGTGCCTCCTGCTGAGCCCCCACTGACACACTCTCTCTCTCTCTCTTTTTCTTTCTTGCTCCTTCTCTGTGCAGCTCAAGTGGCCTTTTTTGAGGGATACCCCTCCATCGGGAGCTGGCCTGGGCCCCCCCATGGTGCCCTCCTCCCTCTAGTCCTCGGACTCTGCCTTTGCCTCTATGCACTTTAACCCCTGCCCGTAACGTGCCAGAGCAGCCTTGGCCAAAGGACGGGCTGGCCTCCGCCTGGCTCTCTCTTTCTCTCTCTCTCTCTTTTTCTCTCCATGTCGAACTACCCTGGACGTGTCGGCTGTGCCCTGCTGGGGTGGCCTGCGGCGGGACGGGTACGGAGCCTGGCTGCCTGGCCGTGGGGGGGGGGGCTTGCCCCTTGCACCATGTCTGGGAAAGCAGCCCCGGGGCAGCGCCCCTTCGCTGGCACCTCCCCAACCCGCTCCCTTGCTCCGTCACCTCCAGTACCGTACCATGTGCCTGCTGGTTTGGCCCGTGACGTGTGTGCTTCGCCTGCCCCCTCCTCGGTGACGGGGTGCCCCCTCCCCGGCCCTGCCAGAGGAGGGTCCCCCCAGGCCCTGCAGGGGAAGGACCCTCCTGGTCTGTTTTTTAATGTATTGACCCCACTGTTTGGAGTCGGACCCTGCTCAGTCTTCCAGCCCCTCTCCCAGAGAACCCCGTCCTCCCCCCAATAAACTATATCCTGTCTATTAGCCTGGCCTGCTGAGCTGTACGGGGCAGGGCTGTGCCCACGCTTCTGCCAACCCTGCCCTGGGGCTGCCTGGGGAAGGGGCTGCAGGGTGGGGAGCAGCCTTAGCATCCCCCAACTCTCCATGGCCCGGGGGCCAGGAGGTAGTTGGAGGGTGCGTGGCGGCCCCATGCAGCTCTGCCCATGCCCATCCCTCACCCCAGCCCAAGTGTGGCACTGGAGGGGATGGGGTGCAGCTGGCAGCCCTGCCCACACAGCGACAGCGGGGCCCTGCTGCCTCCCTGCCACGGGCTGTAACCCCGCACCGCTCTCTTCCCCATCACCAGACATCGACGAGTGTGCCCAGGGCTTGCACAACTGCAGCCAGCTCTGCACCAACACCCCCGGGGCACACACCTGCCACTGCCACCCCGGCTTCCGCCCCCTTGATCCCGCTGCCAGCCAGTGCCTGGGTGAGTACCTGCAGGCAGCGGGGCCAGCAGCCCCTGGCACTCACTTGCCCGCCGCTGCCAGGGGCAGCCATGCTGCCCTGGGAGCAGGGACGTTGTTTCCTGGGGTGCCCTGTTGTGCTCACAGCCCCTGTCCCAGCTGACCCACAACACGGGGGGCAGGATGGGGGGGCTGTGGCTGTGCAGGAGTTGATGGAGCGAGGTGGCATCTGCCACCTGCCAGCCTTGGGGACAGGCAGTGGCAGTGTCACAGCCTCGTGGGCACAGGCGTTGGAGATGCTTTCGTGTCCCAGCTTCACAAGCTGCCCCCTCCCTGCCCTGCGTCCCTTCCGTCCCCTGCTGGATGACCACCCTGCCCTCTGTCCCGTCCTGGATGACCACCCTGCCCTCTGCGGAGCTCTGACTCTCTCCCATTCTCTTCCAGACGTAGACGAGTGCCAGGCACAGCCCGGCCCCTGCGACCACATCTGCCACAACAGCCACGGCTCCTTCCACTGCCACTGCCACCACGGCTTCTCCCTGGGTGTGGGTGGGCGCTGCCTGCTCAACTAGCCCGCCCTGGCACAGCCAGGTGCCCCCTGCCTGCCCCCAGCCCCTTGCTGGTTGCACCCGGTGCCAACTGAATAAACCCTTTCCTGCAGTAGTTTCCCTGTGGGTCCCTGTCACCAGGGCCACAGGGCTGTCCCCATCCCCTCATGCACTGCCTCATTCCTCCCCCTTATTTCCCCCCATGCTCCCCCCTCCCTGTGGGGCTCCGTGCACGCTGGTGTGCTGGGGGATGCCCAGCCCCACTCTCTTCCCCCCGGACACCGTCGTCCCACTCTGACCCAGGAGGACGCGGGGCAGGCGGCAGAGGATGAAGTGTGGGGTTTATTGAGGAAGGTCTCCATGCAGGGGGGGCCCAGCAGGAACAGCGGGGCCAGGGCCACCCTGCACCCGCTCCACGACTGACAAAAGGGAGTCCACAGGCCAGGGTCCTCCCTCCGGGACCCTGGGAGAGCAACACCACCTCCGTTCAGCCCTGTACCCAGGCAGGGGCTCTTCTTCACAGGGTGCTGGACGTCACAGGGACCCTCCTATTTGCCCCCCCTCCCCTGCAATGTGGCCCGTGAACCTCAACACCTTGCAGCCAGGCTCAGGTGCCCTTTGGGGTCCCCACCACAGACCAGGCTGAGAGTCAGGATGCTGGTGGTGACACAGCCAGGGCACATGGGCATGGGAGGGTTCAGCAGCAGGAGAGGAAGGGTCCTGGTGGAGCTGGTCCCTGCATTTGGGACAGGTCATGGGGCAGAGCAAGCAGGGGGCTGCTGGCAGCCAGGGGCAGGCAGGCTCTGCCAGGACTGAGCAGGAAGCCTGGCTCGCCCATGCCACAGCTATGCCATGCCACATGCACGAGTCCAGGGCATGCAGCACAGGGGCAAGAGCCCAGCCAGCGCTGTACGTCCCTGCTCTGGGCACGGGGCTTGGGGCTGGGGAGGTTTCTGGGTCCGGCTGGGGATGGCAGCGGGTCAGGCAGGGAGCAGAAGCAAGTGCCCAGTGCCATGGGCAGTGCTGAAGGATGCTGCTGGAGAGGATGCCACTGCCAGATGGGTGAGGGCAGCAAGGGGCAAGGAATGCATGGCACCATCATGCAGACGAAGCAGCACCAGGGCTCTGGCCAGGCTCCCCGGGCGGTGGGCATGCGGCGGCTGAGCCCACCCCGCAGGACCAAGAGCAGGACACCCCAGGGAGGGGGTGCAGCAAGGGATAAGCATGTCCACCCCCCTGCCTTAGCACTTCCCGGGGCTTTGCTCCCCAGTTCGTGGCACGCAGGGTGCTGCCAGCTGGGGTTGCTGCAGCAGGGCAAGCTCCTTCGCTTGGGGCAGGGGCAGCAGCACAGAGTGCCCCAGGGGGGCTGCGGGAGACCCTTGGCACCAGTTAGGCTCAGTGGGAAGCACACGGGACACCCCAGCACCAGCCCACAGTGGGTCTGAGCAGGGGCAGAGCCACTGTGGGGGGCACAGAGCAGAGGGGGGGTGGGCAGCCCCCCTGGGCAGCCCCCGGCCTCCCTCTCCCACCCACCCTTGGGCTCAGAAGCGGGTGCTCTGGTAGTGCAGCCTGCGGAGCTCGGAAAGGCCACTGTCCCGGCAGTACGAGTCCCTGCAGGGACTCTCTGCCAGTCACCGGCCCCCCACC